CACGTTTCTGATACCTTATTACATACAAATGGACCTTCCGATACTTGTCTACGTTCTTTTCTGCTAATTATTGGGGCTTGAAATCCATGTCGAAATTTACATCTCGGCGTTAAAGGGTTAATATTAATACCCGTATTAACTTTCTAGAAAATTCTCGAAGTACTAAGCCGCCGTGAAAGAGCCGCGATCTTTTATTCAACCAGAGTAAATCCTAAAACTGAGTTTATATCATTATATATTTTCTTTTGTACAAAGTGCATGTCAGATCAAATCAATAAATGTAATTATTTTGTTACAAGAACTAAAGTTAGTGCTCAAGCTGTTTTTTGGTGATCCATCCGTGTGTCGTTCTCGCGGTTCATACGCGCTCGCGTTGCATTCACATACGTTTTCTAGTCCTTCGAGCCGGATTCTTCCGCCGGCAATCGCAGTATCGGGTGCGTCGCGTCCAGTGCTTTGTTCCTGAAAGAAAGGAAGTGAGTGAACCATGAGTCCGGATCTTCAAACCCTGCTAACGGCTCAAAGCGACATTCACGGTCGTATGGCTCGATCAGTGTCGAATTTGAAGAAGCTCGACGCAACGAATATTACGCAACACGCTGCTGAGACTCGCATCGTTCTTCTGGATCGACCGTGGGCGAAATTTGAGGTTCAGCACGAGCTGATCCGAGCGCATCTCAAAGAGACATTCGACGAAAGTGAGTACAGCACGACCGGATTTGCCGATTCAGCCGAGAACACTTACGTGGAGCAAAGAAGCCTCCTCAACGACTTCGTCCAGCAGTTCAAGGCGAAAGAATCGAGTCCCGTTTCCAAATCAGAAGATGGTAATGTGCTTCAGGTAGGACATCGCTGCCTCGATTAAAAATTCGGTCCTTCTCTGGTCTGTTCGAAGATTGGCCTACCTTCCGAGATATCTTCCAATCCATTGTCGGAGATAATTCTTCAATCTCAGCAGTGGAGAAATTCCACTATCTAAAGTCTTGCCTGGAGGGCCCTGCTGAAAAATTAATACGACCGTTAGCGGTTACAGGAGACAACTACCCACGCGCATGGGCCTTGCTAAGCAAACATTATGAAAACAAGAAAGAGTTATCGCGTTCCAATTTCGCCACATTTACCGCCGTGGCTAAAACGAAAAGTGACACCGCCGAAGAGCTCAACCGCATTTACCATGCCGTAACCAGCGTAGTCAACGGCCAGAAGAGCATCAAAAGGCCCATTGGTTCGCATGGCTTCGACCTCCTCAATCACTTCATCGTTGAGCTTTTTGATCCAAGGACTCGACTGGAGTGGGAGTCCCTGTCAAGTGCATCAAATGACGTTCCAATTCACGAGACATTGGTGGACTTCATCACAAAAAGAGCACTCACGCTCAACGCCGCCAAACCGAAGTCACTCAAGGTCTCCGGAGACCCGCCGCGATCCGCGAGATCACACCACGTCAAACGACACATCGACTCACCTCAGTGCGTCCTATGCAAGGGCAAACGCAACGTTATTATGTGCGAAACTTTCAAAGCAAAATCCGCTGCCGAACGCAAAGCCGTCGCTGAAACACACCGATTGTGCTTCAACTGTCTTGGCTCCCATTTGATCGCGAAGTGCCAATCTACCAAGACGTGTGTTACGTTCAAGGCTCGACATTATTCTATGCTTCACGACGCGTGTGTTTCTCCGAAACCCTCCGAGGTTAGCGCACTGTCGGCTGTGCGTCGCGACGATGATCAGAAGGCAATTCTGCTCGCTACCGCGCGGGTATCCATTGCCGACCACCACGGAAATCGTCACGTAGTGCGTGTTCTCATTGATCAAGGATCCGAGGTGTCCTTGATCTCCGAGTTGGTTCAGCGTCTGCGTCTGTCACGATCGAGATCCGCAGTCGAAATCTTCGGTATCAGCGGCAAAAGCACCGGACCGATCAGGGGAAAGGTGACCCTCGATATAGCCTCGCTGACCAATGAGACTCAGTTCACCGCCATAGCCTTTGTTCTGCTACGTTTGTTTATATATCAAGGCGCAAACGGAAAGAACAAGACCGAGTGACCTCACTTGAAGGGGCTCCCGCTAGTGGATCCACAGTACATGTCGACGGATCCAATAGAGCTGCTGTTCGGTGCGGAAGTGTGCTCCGTCGTTCTGCAAGAAGGTCTTCGCAAGGGAGGACCCCAAGCTTCCACCGCCCAGAACACCCTTCTTGTCCGGAGACCAGGTCAACACCACGACGGAGCGTCGCTCTCTCCAATACACCGCTAATCACGAGTTAACTAAGCTCTTTCACCGCTTTTGGGAGCAAGAGAGTGAAACGCCCGCTCCCTCCGCTCTCACGCCAAACGAACAGTTGTGCGAAAACATCTTCGCGCTCCATCACTAACGCACTGACGAGGGACGGTACGTGGTGCGACTGCCATTCGCCTCAACGCCAACTAAGCTCGACGAGACTCGCAAACCGGCCGAACGCCTCTTGACTGCCATGGAGCGACGCTGCGAGTGAGAACCCCGATTTGGAGAACTCTACCGCGCCTTCCTGAAAGAGTACGAAGAATTAGATCACATGGAGATGGCTCAAGAACCGTCAAACCTGATCGAAAACCGGTGTTATCTTCCGCATCATGGCGTACTCCGGGAATCAAGGGCCACAACCAAACTCAGAGTCGTCTTCAACGGGTCGCAACGCACTGGAACGGTGAGTCTCTCAATTCACAATTACTAATCGGTGCCAATCTCCTGCCACCTCTCGCGGACGTGCTCATGCGTTGGCGTTGGCACCGGTACGCCATCGTCACGGACATCGAGAAGATGTATCATCAGATTCTCGTTCATCCAGATGACCAGAGGTATCAGCGCATCCTCTGGCGTCACGTTTCCGACCCAATACGCGAGTTCTCTTTCAAAACCGTGATCTACGGTCTCGCGTGCGCACCATTTCTCGCCATCCGCACTCTGTGTCAGCTTGCCGACGACGAAGGAGGCCACTTCCCACGAGGTGCCGACGCGTTACGACGAGATTGTTACGTCGACGACATTGTGACCGGAGTACATCACAAATCCGACGCGGTCACCTTGCAAGCTGAACTCCGCCAACTCTGCATGGCGGGCGGGTTTTCTCTGAGGAAGTGGGCTACAAACTGCAAGGACCTCCTCCGCGGAATTCCAACCGAGCACCGCCTTACCAAGGACTCACTTTCATGGGAACAAGACAACCACTCGACGCTGGGACTGCGTTGGTATCCAAAGAGCGACGAATTCGTCTTTTCCGTTCCACCTCGCACCATCACCACGTTCACCAAAAGAAGCGTGCTGGCGGAAACTGCACGGCTCTTTGATCCACTAGGCTAGTTGGCTCCAGTGGTAATTTAGGCGAAAATTTTGATCCAGTCTACCTGGCTGCAGCGATTGGATTGGGACGCTCCGCTTCCACCGACCATCGCTGTGAAGTGGCAACGCCTGTTTGAAGGACTTCCATCTCTCCAGAAGCTCCGCGTCGGGCGCTGGTTAGGTACCGGCGACTCAAGCTCGCACCTCGAACTGCACGGATTCACCGACGCGTCTGAACGAGGTTACGCCTCCGTGGTGTAACTTCGCATCAATTCGGCCAATCTAATCACGATGTGATTGTTAGTGGCAAAGAGCAAGGTTGCACCTATCAAACCCATATCACTTCCGCGACTGGAACTCTGCGCCGCCGCCTTGCTCACGAATCTACTCGCACACACGCGCACTGTGTTAGACCTATCCACTGCATCAGTAACCCTGTGGTCTGATTCCAAGGTCACTTTCTGCTGGATTCATGGCCACGCCTCTCGATGGAAAACTTATGTGGCTAACAGGGTGTGGCAGATCCAACAACAGCTACCTGAGGCTCGATGGCGCCACGTCCCAGGAAAGGAGAACCCCGCCGACTGCGCCTCTCGAGGACTCGCCCCAAGCGAGCTCCTTGGACATCCCCTGTGGTGGACGGGCCCTGCCTGGTTGCGCGGAAACGTAACAGAATGGCCATGCGGAGACGAGGAGTTGCCCACTAAGGACACGTCTGAGCAACGAGCTACCACGCACATTGCAGCAACCCGGAGCAACCTAGAGCCTGAATTCCTCCTCAGGTTCTCAGCTCTGCATTCACTTCTAAGGATCACCTCCTGGTGCCTCCGATGGCGCCGCCGCCCAGCAGGATCCGCTGACGAGGATCGCGACAGATCTACACTCCATCTTGCCGAACTTGATGAAGCACTCCTGCAGTGGATTCGAGTAGTGCAGACGCTGCACTACCCGGAGGAGATGACCGCCATTGCAACCAACCGTTGCCTTCCACGACAAAGTCGCCTGCGAGCATTCAGTCCATACATGGGCGACCACGGGATGCTACGAGTCGGGGGACGGCTCAAGCACGCTGCGCTGTCCTTTGATGAGCGGCATCCACTCATCGTGCCTACAAAATCGTGGCTCACGAGATTGATGGTAGAGGCTTACCATCGCCGCACTCTGCATGGAGGTGTCCAGTTGACGTTGGAGATGCTTCGACTCCATTTCTGGATCCCACGAGGTAGAGCAGTCGTCAAGCAATGGTTGCGCAATCTGCACTCGCTGGAAGGCTGTCACACCACAACCTCCAATGGGAAACCTTCCACCAGGACGAGTGCAAGACCATTCCTCCGAGTAGGCATTGACTACGCGGGGCCCATTCTTGTTAGGACGAGCAAAGGGCGTGGCCACAGCGCAAGCAAGGCTTTCATCGCCATTTTTGTGTGTTTTAGCTCCAAAGCAGTTCACCTTGAAGCGGTCTCAGACTACACCGCCGAAGCATTCCTGGCTGTCCTCCGCCGCTTTACATCTCGCCGAGATCTTTGCTCTGACATCTACTCAGATTGTGGCATCAATTTTTCTGGAGCTGACGAGCAACTGAGAGAGATGCTCGGGGTCTCCTCATCTGACGGACGTCGCATTGCGCACGCTGCTTCATCAGAAGGGATCCACTGGCACTTCAACCCACCTTCCGCACCACATTTTGGCGGCCTTTGGGAGGCTGCCGTGAAGTCCACGAAGTACCATCTACGGAGAGTCATTGGCGAAACAAGGCTTACCTTTGAGGTGATGAGTACCCTTCTCGCATAAGTGGAGGCGTGCCTGAATTCCCGGCCAATGTACGAACTCTCGGACGATCCAGATGACCTCACGGCTCTGACGCCAGGTCACCTACTTATTGGGACACCACTACTGGCCATTCCTGAGCCACCCTTAACAAGAGAAAGGGAAAATTTTCTTTCTAGGTGGCAACTTGTTCAGAGGATGCGTGATCATTTCTGGCAGAGATAGTCACGAGAATACCTGCATACGCTAGCTACACGACAACGGATCAAACCAGCAGCATCCCCACGCATCGGATCTTTGTGCCTCATCCGCTCCGAAATCACTCCGCCCAACAAATGGCCATTAGCACGAATCACGCAGCTGCACCCTGGAGACGATGGCGTGGTACGGATGGTGACTGTACAAACGGCCTCATCGAAATTAATCCGTCCTGTGGTCAAGTTGGTATTGCTGCCAGAAGCCGTCCATACACTCACATCGTCCGAAGATGCGTAAAAACAAAAAAAATCTCATTAGTATTTCTACTAGTATTAGCCTGTAATACACCGTCATTGTCGAGTACCTCATTACATTACCATATTTCGTTGCATCATACTCTAGTTCAAGTTTCAATCTTTCTCGCCGCTTGTTTCCCATCACTATACACTACCGCGTGGTCCCGCTTACTCGTGCTCACTGACCAGTGACAGGATCCCGTCTAACTTTCAATTTTCACATGGAAACAATACACGGAATTCACTCGAGTAACCTGTCACTTCGCAAATACATCCCACGTGTACACCTTTGTATCCCGTCAAGCACAGCGAAATAAGCCCAGCGAGATGGCAGGCCACGTCGAAGATATCGATCGCAATAATCGAGCAATAGCGCCGGCCGAATCGATCATCGTGATCGCTGTTACTCCTACAGGCCACACTCGCCGCTACTTCTCGGCACGTGTCGTCACGAAGATGACGAGGTGGGCGGGAATGTTTGAGATCATGAAAAGAAAGTTAAAAGCGGTAAAGAAGTAATAATCAGCATTAAATTGTGTATATAAAAGGAGCAGTCAAGGTCTTCGTAAGTTCAACCTTCGCATTAGCATGATACATTATTTTGTTGATTTAGAAAAAAAACAAGCTCATTTTATACACACAATGCCAACAATAGCAAAAGAGTACCGAACCTTCCAGAATTTGCAAATGTTCTAGAAACTGCGCGATTGCGCACGCGCGCCCATCGCGTAGCAGTAAACGTCACGCGCGGCCTCCAATCCTAATCACGGAGTTGCTGCCGTGCATGGCTATTACTCCACACATGACGGGAGGTAAATCGATGCCGCCAATCAACCAAAAACCAAAATTGTTGGCAAACTTCTATTCGCCACAATAAAAAGAACGCTCCGTGTCGCGTATGCGATATAGAGCTATTGTCGCCGTTCCCGGACCTTCTGTGCTCGGAGTCCTTAGGGAGAGTATTCCTTGTGAGAAACTGCCGCAAAATCGCCACGTATTAACTTTCTAGAAAATTCTCGAAATACTAAGCCGCCGTGAAAGCGCCGTGAAGCGATCTTTTATTCGACCAGAGTAAATCCTAAAACTGAGTTTATATCATTATATATTTTTTTGTACAAAGTGCATGTCAGATCAAACCAATAAATGTAATTATTTTGTTACAAGAACTAAAGTTAGTGCTCAAGCTGTTTTTTGGTGATCCATCCGTGTGTCGTCCTCGCGGTTCATACGCGCTCGCGTTGCATTCGCATACAGCCATATTATTGAAATTTGTTTTTTTATTAAAAAATTTATTTCTATTATACATATGAAATAAAATTTTCTATTGTTAATTTATTCATTATTTCTTAATGATATTTACTTATATCTTAACGTAGTTTTCTAATACATTACATTGTTACTATTTCTAATACATTAAATGTTAATAGAAATAAATTATTTAATAAAAGACGTATTTGAATAATGAATTGGAGGAAGGTGCGCTCCCAGTATATCTCTGGTATAGGGACACGCTCCTGAGCCACAACGTCGCGTGCGCGATCGGCAACTAGAGGTTTGTTCGCGTTGCATGCTCCAACATGCTCCTATATGCTCCTATCATAGCTCCTACTCACTTCAATGTGTTCATTAGAGTGAGTAGGAACTATGGCAGGAGCATGTTCAAGCATGCGACGCGAACAAACCTAATGGTACGTTTCCACTGAGCGCGTCATACGTCGCGTCGTCGAAGGAGAGAAAGAGAGGGGTTGTGTATTTATATAATCTTATCTCTTTCTCTTTTTCATAACGCGACGCGTGACGCGCTCAGTCGAAACGTACCATTAGGCCGCTGAGCCTCGAACGGTGGTGGGGGGACAGTAGGCGGCGCCTGCAGGAATCGGCTCAAAATATGCAGATTATTGCGAGCACTGATGTAATGAATCACTGTGTTACATTAGGCCTGTTTTTTATGGCTAAACTTTTGCACCAGTTCATCTTTCTTCTTCTTTCCTCCTGAAGAGAAAAAGAAGAAAGATGAACTATGCAAATGTTCAGCTAAAAAGAACAGCCCTATTGTGTCTGACTGTGTTTTTGCTGGAAAATATCCATTGTTACGTCCTGCAGACGCAGATTCTTTTCTTTCGAGAGAATCGGCTCCGCCGCAACTACGATTGGCGCCTGCGAGACGCGAGCACGGGTCCCCCTATAAAAATTGAAAAACAGACCACCCAGGCTCCGCGAAAAACTCGTAAACGTCAATCAACCCGGAAAAATAACAACACTAACGCCGGCCTAAAAGGGACAAGATTGCGAAAAATATCACAAACGGACTGTTGTGCCGCTGTACGGCACGGGTTCGGGATCCACTCAGGACTCGGGAAATGATCGAGTGAACTAACACTTTCATGTAGCAACTAAATTAAATATCTTTATTTTCACACACAAGTGGTATTGATTTACAATCACCATGCACTATTCGGTATTCGCGTCGCGATATAAGTATTATAATGATTCGGACGGCGCAATGCGAATAGTTACGTTTATGAATCTGACCGATTTTCTGACCGTCGACGGCAGATCGGGTCGCGCTTATATTTGATATTTTGGGGGTCATCCTTGGACCGTCCGCGCTGCTCCGTCAGCGTTCCGCTTATCGGACGAGGCCTCGTAAACATCTGCGTTAGCGTTTTCTTTTGTTCCAAATTTATTTGCCTTCAGGGTCGTCTTTTAAATTAATTGTATTGTTTATCTTATTTTAAATAGTATAGTTTCGTTCGTATAAGCTAAACACGTATCGTGGCGCAATGGTCACTTGTGCAATATCGCACTCGTGACATTCCTCCCCCCTTGGGAAAAGGAAACGAGGTTACGAGTTTCCGTAATTGTTATTAATTATTGTCATACATAATTCTCCCAGTTTACAATTGTTTCTATAATCGTTTCTTATACTAATATAACATAGCGGCGTCGCTACGCCTTTGTGACTCGGTGTCTTCTCGCATTTGTCTCCGCTTATGAACTGCATACATAGCTATACATATATGTTAATTATAATTAAAATAACAGTGCCTGTTCCTATGGGATACATTACATATTTATTACTGAATACATGAGTGTTACTTTTTCCTAAATATTCTTCAACTTCTCTTGTACCTAGACTTAATTCGGTTAATTCCTTAGGATTTTTAATTAGTTGTTTGAGCGGAATACGCTTTGAGAGGTCAATATCAATGTCCTTTTCAAAATGACACGTTAGGTTATATTCCGGAAGATATTCTTTAATGTATTGTACGTTTAGTATTGATTTCGTGCGTAATGTTAAATCTGGGGTGGTTAACTTGCAATCCCCATTTAATTTAATTCTACCGGTTCCATTAATTTGTAATACGTTTTCTTCGTTATTGCAATTAACAAAAACTTTCTGGCTTTCCCTGGTGGAATATAGCCACGTTTGAGCCTCCGTCAACGTAATCCACAAAGTAGTGCTAGATAAAACGTGTCCGTTTTCGCAATTTTGCATTTGTCCTGGCGCGTTTATGAATATCGATACTTCGCACGGTGCATCGGATTTAATATAGTATATCGGAAATGTTTGCCCGCACATATATGTGGTAGTGTCTCGCACGCACTTATTTAAGTCGTCTTCGCTTAACATAGTGTAATGATTATTTTCCTTATCTATCGCTATTAGTGGGTAATCCGATTTCACGAACGTAAAGACATTGGAGTGCGAGTAGTGGGGTAGCGGTGTCACGCGTATTATCTTATACGTCGAGTATGCGATTACCGGGAACTTCAGTGTAGTAAATATATGAGAACTTGAATAGAATGCGTTAATTGATATATATTTTTGGATTACGTTCCAATTTTCTACCTTTATTTGAAAAAGAAAATGCAATCCCTTCGTTAATTGTGATGCGGCTTCCCGCAAATCTGCTATTATTTGATCTAAGGGTAACAAACGAGTGGGTATTAATCCTTCCTTCGAATAGGTTAAATAGTCTAACGTTTTACATACGTCTACTGTCAGATCCGTCATAATGGCAGTGAGTATTTGTAAATGCTCGTCCAAATCCTCTCGTTGCGTATATTTATCTAGTTGCATTCCCATTCTCTTGGTAACATTTAGCAACAGATTTTCATTATAGGCCGTCGCCTTTTCGAGGCTACTTATATGCCCAATAGTGGCGTTTAATATCTTCAGTTGATGCTTCGCTGCATGTTGTAACACCTGCTGGTTGTCTTGGAGTATCTGTAGCTGCTCGTTTATTCGCTGCGCGTCTTCCGCGTCCATTGTTCCAAACAGCGTTTTGCTGATTGTGCCAATCGCATTTATTAATCCTCGTTTATTCGTGTTGGCATTATATAATGTTCTCATATGAGCTAGTGATGCAGTAAGTTGACTATTTTCCTTGTCCAAAATCTGCATCATGTTCACGCATATTTCTTGCGCGTTTCCTGCGATGACCTGCCCACATCGCTTTTCCGTATTTTTTAAATACCCTTGCAGCTTTTCAAATCGCGTATTTAGCGCGGTAATCTAATTTAATC